TTGTTGGTGTAAAAAACAAGGAGTAGTCCTGTGGCTCCTTAGCAACCAACAAAAATACATGTATAGTAGCATGAGCTTTTGTGGGCAAAATGCACTTCTTCAGATGAGCCCACGGGGTGTTTTTGTTTTCTGCTCGACAAGAGGGGGGTACAGTGAGGGAGGCTGTGTCTAGACTGGCAAGTTTTTCCGCAAAATCATCTGATTTTGCGGAAAAACTTGCCAGCTGTTGTGGGAGAAAAATTAAATAACTTCAATTGTGTCTAAAGGGGGGAACTGTGCAGAAATTATAACTTTCTAAAAGAAAACTGCTGTAAGGGTTAAAAAGTTTTTCAGGCCTTTCTCCCTGTAACAGAGAGAAATTAAATTAGCTTTAATCAAAGACCCTTACAAATAACTATCTTAAATTTATGGATACTTCTAGTCTGTTACAATTTGTTATGTAAACCCTTATTTTTGTCACAGTTTGCCTTGTAGACTCCTCCACTCAAGTTCTTATGTGGCTTTGTGTACTGTAAAAACTTACTTTTAGCACTCCTGGGGTAAACAGAAGTCTCAGAGTACTTCTGCTAAGACTTTGATATGTTAAAGAAGAACAATCCACAACTGAACTGTCTAAGCATTCTGTATATAGAATACCTGAATCTGTCTGTCAGGGCGGCTGCTTCACTCTTGGAAGTGACAGCCTGCATGCATGCATCATAAAGTTTTCCCTTCTAGGTTTCTCTCCTGCCTCACTGATTTCACCTCCGGCCTCGGACCCTTCTGGGGGCTCTGTACCCCAGGGGAGCGACATTTCCCCCTCACTGTCTACACTGGCCGCTTGAATTTCCGGAAAAGCACTGACGATCTCATGTAAAATCATCAGTGCTTTTCCGGAAATACTATGCTGCTCTCGTTCAGGAAATGGCGATTGGGGCTTTTTTGCAGAAAACCGCGTCTAGATTGGCCATGGACGCTTTTCCGCAAAAAGTGCTTTTGCGGAAAAGCATCTTGCCAATCTAGACGCGATTTTTCTGAAAATGCTTTTAACGGAAAACTTTTCCGTTAAAAGCATTTTCGGAAAATCATGCCAGTGTAGACGTAGCCTGAAAGTTTGCCTTTTTTGGAATTAGGAACTTTTGAAAGGAAATGAAAACATATGTTTCATTTCTCAAATACTTTTTTTTATTGTCAAGTTTTTATTCTCTCCCCTTTCAATAGACCCTTTTTGTCACTGCAAGCTGAACAGTGAAAGGGGGACACTAGGAACTATTTAAGAAGGAATGAGAAGGTGGGTATCATTAGGAGTAATTGAATGAGTCATTAAAAAATTACCTCACTCTTGAGATACTGTGGAGTAGTTTCTCAAGAAAAGTTTATTGTAGCTGCACAGCTTGGCACATGTAAAACTTACGGTTACAGTACTAACAAAATAATAATTACTAAAGAATAATTCTGTATTAAAGAATAAATCTGTACCATTAGGGGCATGAAGTAGATTAATGAGTCCTTTTCAGCTCTAAGTTCTAGAGCAGTGTTTCTTAACTTTTTTCCTAAAGAACCCCCTTTCTGAAAAAAAAAATTATAAGTATCCCCAGTACCTACAGTTTTCAGACATACACAATTTTTTCTACAGTTACAAGACATTTGTTAAAACAACTTAATCATAGCTGGGCGGATGATGAAATTTTTGGGTGTAAAAAGTACAAAAATAATAAAGCGCTGTAAAACTTAAAACAAAAATTCAGTTTTCTCCAAATTTCAGTTGTGTTGACATATCTCCCAGACTTCTCTCAAGTACCCCTAAAGGTACTCATACTACTAGTTGAGAAACACTGTTCTAGAGTACCCTCTTAGACTAACAAAGGCATCAGGATAGTCCCCATCTTGAAATACCGTTAAGGAGTGCCAGGGCACTTTGTTCCTTCCATCAAACTCTGATGAAATCCTTTCACAAAGAACTTTTAGTCCTCATAGGCACCAAGAGAGTTTTCAGATCGAAGCACTTGATACTTCCCACTTCATATTCAAACACAACAGATGCAGTCAGTTGGAAACAGAAAAATAAGTTTATGCTACAGCAAAACCATTACAAGAGCAGCTGCCCTCAGCTGTGTTTGCAGTTTGCTGGCATACATCCTTCCTTTTCTCAAAAGAGTATTGTGCCCTCTATGAAGTGTATAAAAAGGCTTTACTTAAACAGAGATATACTTTAACCTTTAAAACTAGTAGCTTTGGCAATACCTGCAAACTCCTGAATGACAAATACTTCCCCTACCAAATATGTAATATGTTTTTACATGATTCTCTGTTGGATACATGTTATAAATAGTCCCTCTTTACCAAAATCATAGCATAAATTTAAAAACTTTGCTCTTTTTTTTTTAAGTTGAAAAGCAAAGGGACAGAGTGGTTCAGTCTTCAGGATCGTGTTGTTGGTTGGGAACTTCCTGATCATTCAAATATGCTCTCTTCCTTAGAGGTTGTAGTCAATATCAGTGGAAATGAGCAGGTAACCCTGAGGAGAGAAGAATATTCATAAAAGTGCCTTAAAATTGATAGTTAAGTCTGAATTTTTTGTTTTAATTCTGTCCTGGAGATCAAGAGTGGGAATCTTCACTGAAGAGAACTGCAACTTAATAATAGCAACCTGAAGAAGTTCACACAGGGACAGATTTCTACACACTGACCCATAAATTCCTTGGGATTCTGCTGCTTTGCACCACAGTGTCAACAGAATGCTGCACCTAAAACTCATGTAGCAAGTCTTGGGAGTATTACTCACAGAGAACCTCCATTGATGTACATATTGTGTAGTGACGCTCCAGTGCCACTTCCTCACTCCTAGTACAACTATATTGTGGCTGCTGTGTTGGCCCTCCTGTTGGTAATCCGTGCAAGGTACAGTAGCCTTCAGGTTGGTGCAACTTTCATCAGGGGACTGGCCTGACGCAAAGTTGTCCCAGGTTTGTGGAGTAAACAGTGGTTTAAATCTTTTCACATTCCCTTTTCAGAGTGGTGCTTCAGCCCCAATCAAAGAACTGTACACAATGTTTGGACAATATAAAGTGACTGAAAAGTTGGGAATGATTGAAGCAAACCAATGGACTACTTAATTGTCTACAAATTAATTTATTATTGATTTCTGTTTATTCGTTTTCTAGCAATGTCCTGTCCACCCAAATTAAGGGCTAAATTCTTGTGCTGCTTCAACATACGACTTCGGCAAGTGTTGGTAGCAGAATATCGCCCTCTGTTTTTGCATTAATTATATCAGCAATAATAATTGAGGCATAGGTTATATTTGAGAGATCTATGACCAGCGGGAACACATACCCTCAAGAACATATTAATCCTCAGGAAATGCCTTGCATCTTTATTATTATTGTATATGTAAAGCTCCAGTTATTCATACTACACAAGGAAGGCCAAATTCTGTTTTCATTTATGTTTGAGCAACCCTATTGAACTCAATGGGATTGCACTGAGAAAATGGAGACTTGAATTTAACTTGGGGGGACAAATTTAGGCCACGCATAAAAGGCAATTTTGACTTTGAGTTGCACCACAGTTAAATGTGACCCACTGAGTGCATTTGGCCACTGAATATCAGCACATATAGTTCAGTTTTATTTTTTCCTCAAAGACAGAGGAATTTGTTCTTAAAGAAATACTTTTACTGGTATGAAATTTCTCATATTATACTAAGCATTTGAAGATCCAGCAAAAGAGTAACTTTTTTTAAAGAAGAAACACAGTTTCTCACCTCATTAATTTTAATAACAGGTCTGAGGAGGGTAATATGGTCCAGGTTAGGAAGAGGGAATCCCTTCTTCAGTATTACTATAAAAAGACAGACAAAATGTGTATAATTTTTATAATTAAGTATAACTTGCATTGCTATAGCACCTTCCCCAGGATCTCAAGGTGTTTACAACCATGAATGAATTAATCCCTCACAGCACTCTTGGGTAGTGAGTATAACCCCCATTTACAAATGGTGGAAGAGAGGTCAAGAACATAAGAATGACCTTACTGGGTCAATCCAAAGACCCATCATGGGCAGTAGCCTGTTTTCTGACAGTGGCCAATACCAGGTATTCCAGAGGGAATGAATAAAACAAGTGATCTATCTGTTCTCACCCATTCCCAGTTTCTGGCAAAGAGAGGCTAGGAGTACTATTCCTGCCCATCTTGGCTAATAGCCATTGATGGGCCTATCCTCCATTAGTTCTCTTCTGAATGCTCTCCCATTGCCTCAGCATTTTTCTGGATGTGGTCAGTACATTAGCTCTCCTAATCCTGATTCACAATCCCTTTTGTTTTAGGGGATGAGTTTGTGATGAACTCATCCTGCAGATACATTACTTGAAGGATGCATTCACACTCAGTCTAAGAGAGATTGTTATCCAGTCATCTGTACCTCTCAGCATAATAACAATTTACTCTTATATAGCATTTTTCATCCATAGCACTCAAGGCACTTTACCAATGAAGTCAATATATACCCTCATTTCACAAGTGGGAAAACTGAGGCACGGGGGTGTGGGTGGGAGTGATTTACCGAACATCACCAAGCAGGGCAGTGGCAGAGCTAGGATAGAATTCAGGTTTCCTACATGCCAGTCCAGTGCCCTATAACTCACTTTCTATATCCAATCAGTCCCTGGCTTCTCTGATACAACTCCAAATTTGTTCTAATTATAGTGGTGGTTTGAGAACGTATTTACTTATCCCCTAGAAACTGGCTGATAGCCTATGTGAAATGAGTTGGGGGTACCACCTGATTGTAATGACATCTTTTCATTTCTCATCAGAGTTGATGTGAAATGGTTCATAGTGGTGAAAAGCCCCATATCGCATTACCTGTTCCTGAAGCCATGGTAACCATGGGAAGTGATTCTGTGGGTTGGAGGAGGTTGTGCCTCCCTAAACAGTTGAGGATGGTTCAGCTCACACTCTCCCTCTTACTCTGAGTGCAGCTCCTCCAGTCCCCCAGTGCTGGCCTCAGCTGGGCTGGGATTGGGACACCCAGGCTGCGTGCCACACACCATCTCAGAGCTCTGGATTTGAGAGACTACTGGTGCCTGAACTTCTTGGTGCTCCATGGCAGGGGGATTAGCCGTGGAAGGGGGGGCTCTCTGCTCCAGCAGGGGGCATATACAGGGTGGGGCCATGGGTGGAAGATATGGGGCTGGTGACTGGCCTCCCCCATTTATCACTTTACATGCTGGTTACAGTTATGTTAACAGAGATAAGGGCCATTAAAAAGAACTGGCTATCCTTACCATTGGCCGCTGGGATTACTCCATTCCGCAAAACATAAGAAAGGAAATTCTCTAAAAGTGAGACCTGCCATGGGAGAGAAAATGGAGTTAGAAACCACTTCCTAGTATCTATGAAGCTGCTCCACACTAAATCTTGGATGGAATTTTAAGAGTCCTGCTCACAGAAGCAGACCTTCATTTGTATAGACAAAAGCCCCAAGTGACAATGATCTTTGGTTCTTGAGGCTTACGGATGTCTCCGAACATGAGAATCTGTATCTCATTACCACGTGTGCAATATTTTCATTTAATCAGTTTCATTTACTTGCAAGATTATTTTAATTCTCCTCTGATCAGCTTCCTAGAGCTGATCAATTGTCTTTAGGATGAAACTGTTCTCTATGGGAGGCAGGATTTTTCACTACAGTGTGTTTCAGGCATTTGCG